CAAAGAGCAGCAAACTGGTAAATCTCGACCCACAATTCGATATGGAATCAGAGCTCATCCAAGTAGGAGGTCGATTAAAGAGAAATGATCAACTGGAGATGGAGGTGCACCCAGTTGTACTGGACCCGTGTCATCGGATTACACAGTTGCTCATAAAGAGAATAGACAGTAATGTTTTTAACCATGGTACAGGAGTGGAGCAAGTATTCAGTTATATAAGACGACGTTACTGGATATTGAAAGGGCGTAGTAAAATCAAGTCGATACTCAGGACATGTGTTAGTTGTCAGGTGGAGAAAAAGTCCAGCTGTACCAAAAATGGCAGACATTCCAGAGGCAAGAACAAGAATCGGGTTGCCTCCATTTTACTCCACTGGAATGGACTGCTGGGGCCCTATGATGATTAAAGTTCGCAGATCCAGAGAGAAAAGATGGGGGGTCATCTTTAAATGTATGACAACTAAGGCTGTCCATCTTGAAATTATAAGTAGTATGAACAGCGATGGATTTCTTATGGCATTTAGAAGGTTCATAGCTAGAAAGGGAACTCCAGCTGAATTATATTCAGATTGTGGAACAAATTTTAAAGGGGCAGAGCGTGAGCTAAACGACTGTTTCCGGTTAATGAGTGTCGAACTGCAATCCAAATTGGCCAGTCAGAGAGTAAAGTTTAATTTCAATCCACCCGAAGCACCACATTTCAGAGGAATATGGGAGAGGGAAATCAAGTCAGTGAAAAACACAATAAAATGCTGTTTGAAGGATAGAATAGTAACCGAAGTAATACTTCAAACTGTAGTAACGGAGATTGAAGGGCTATTAAACTCAAAGCCATTAGGATATGTCTCATCAGATGTTTCGGATAGCAACCCTCTAACACCCAACCTTCTCATGGGGAGAAGAGATCCCGCATTGCCGTCAGTGGCATTCAGCCCAAGAGAGGAAATAAGAAGCAGAAGGCAATGGAAGCATAGCCAGGTCATAGCGGACTTGTTCTGGAAGAAGTTCACCTCAGAGTATCTGCCTAGTTTGCAAATTAGGAGTAAATGGCAAAGGAGTGTGAAAATCTAAAAAGGGGTGATACAGTTTTAGTGATTAACAACCAGTTGCCAAGAGGTGACTGGCAAGTTGGGAAAATAGTGAAAGAGTACCCAAGTGTTGATAACAGGGTAAAAGTGGTAGATGTGTGCGTAAATGACAAAATATACAAACGCCCTGTGGTAAAGCTCATAAAGTTAGAACAGTGGGAGTAAATTGAGGGTTATATTCTTGTCAAGGTTACTGCTCCTGTATAGTAAAGAAGTAGTTCATTGCGTAGGTTAAGTTGTTAAAGTTGGTAAAAAAATAAATAAAATAAAATAAAAATAATAAAAATAAAAATAAAAAGAGTTTAACTGGAGAAATGAGATATACTCATTTGTGGGGGAGTGTAGAAACGGTTGCGTTTCTGTAGAGTTTTGTAAGTGAAAATAGGTGGCGCACAGCGAAATGCCCAGTTGTCAGAACCACCTAATGATCGTGTTGCTATGAGGATTGTGTATGTGTAATGACAGTAGCAAACGGTATATTATTCGACCGTTTCTAAAGTTCTAAAGAGTAATTTGTAGGGCAGTGATGATAATTGGTTTACAATAACAAGAGGTGGGAGTATCTCTCCATTATAGGCCTAGACCTAGCTAGGTATTACTGTCATACACGGTGAGGCCGATGTGCGTTGTGTGTATTACTAGGCCTACTACACTATGAACGGGAAACGTGCGATTGGGCTCTGACCAGGATCATAATTATGAGGTTATGTCGATTAGGCCTAATCAGTATTGGTACTCAGGATGCTATAAGATGATTGTTGTAATTATAATTCTAACGCTTGTTGGTAATGTTGGATTTATATAGTACTGTATAGTTTATTGAGATATTGTTTAAGGTTGATGTTCCTTGTTTAGGCTAACCTGTTCAGGAGGTGATCGGATGTTGAC